GGGCGACAGAGTGAGACTGTCTCAAAAAATAAAATAAAAATAATTTAAGCTATGTTGGATAAGAAGGACCCAGTTGTGAAGGTGGAAATGGGTGAGAGGGCTTTCTGAGCCAAGAAGAATGCAAATGAAAAGATCTTGAGGCAGAAATTAGCTAAAACCTGTATTAGTCTCCTAACTAAATACAAACTGGGTGACTTCAAACAACAGAATTGTATTCCCATATGGTTCTGTTTTTAAATGTTTTGTTTCTGTTTTTAAATGCTTTGGTTTTTTTCCAAGAAGGAGTCTTGCTCTGTCGCCCAGGGTGAAGTGCAGTGGTATGATCTCAGCTCACCGCAACCTCTGCCTCCCAGATTTAGCCATTCCCCTGCCTCAGCCTTCTGAGTAACTGGAATTACAGGCACGTGCCACCACACCCAGCTAATTTTTCTATTTTTAGTAGAGACGGTGTTTCACCATGTTGGCCAGGCTGGTCTCGAACTCCTGAACTCGTGATCTGCCTGCCTCGGCCTCCCAAAGTGCCAGGATTACAGGCGTGAGCCACCGCACCTGGCCTCTAGCACAGTTCTGGGGGCCAGAAATCCAAAATCAAAGTATCAGCAAGGCTGGGTCCTTCTAAAGGCTCTGAGGGAAAATCCGTTCGGTGCTTCTGTCCTGCCGCCCGGAGGCTGCCGGCAATCCTGGGCGATCTTTGGCTCATACCTGCCTTACCCCAATCTCCGCGTCTGTCTCCACGTTGCCCTCTTCTCTCTGTGTATTCTCCTCTTTTGATGAGGACACCAGTCATTGGACTTAGGGCTCACCCTAAATCCAGGATGGTTTCATTGCAAGATCCTTCACTACCTGCCTCTAAAATGACCATATTTCTTTCTTTTGTTTTGGTTTGGTTTTTGTTTTCTAAGACAGGATCTCTCTCTCTGTCACCCAGGCTGGAGTGCAGTGACACAAATACCACTCACTGCAGCCTCAACCTCCTGGGCTCTAGTGATCCTCCCACCTCCGCCTCTCAAGTAACTGGGAACACAGGCATGTACCATCATGCCCAGCTAATTTTTTAAAAAAACTTTTTTGTTTATTTTGCTTTATCCCTTTTTATGGCTGAATAATAATCCATTGTATGGACAGAGCACATTCTGTCTAGCTTGAGAAAACATATGTTTTGTGAGTTTTTTATTTTACATAATTGATCCTATACAGTATGAGTGGCACTGTAACTTTTTTCCATCTACCAATGTGACTTGGTGGAGTGAGTAATATTATTTAAAGTACACGAGTATACTTTAAATAATATTATAAATATAAATAATAAGTATAATATTATTTAAAGTATAAGAGACACTGTCAGATTATCTCAAGAAATGGAAGAGAGTTATTGCCTGGAACTCTCCACAGGTGACACGTCACTCATTCTCACAACACATCAAGAAAGGTGTTATCAGTATTCAAGACACTAAGAAATTAAGTTTCATAGAAATAAAGCAGTTACCCAAGTACCAAGCATATGAAAAGCTCTTCAAAATAAGGTATGGAATGAATGAATAAAATGAATCAGTGGCCGAGCTGGGGATTTGAACTCAGCTCTGTGCACCTGAAGGTCAATCTCCTGCCTCTGCACACAGAACCAGAATCCAGAGCAGGGACCGCTGTGCATTTAAAGCAACTACTGTTATAAGCTGATGGGAGGTGGAGGCAGAATTATAATCACCTGCTTTCAGCAGTCCTGGGGGACAAGCCCTCTCTCCAGGACAAAATTTTCTAGGGCTGACAGGGAAAACATCAAGCATTTGGTAAACGCACGACCTTTGGAGAAAGGGCTGTTCTGAATAACCAGGCTAATAATAATCACCTGACAGCAATTTCCTGCAAGCTGGTTTCTTATAACACATCTGGCAGTTCATCTGCTTTCCCTCTACTGCAGACGAGGTTTGTCATCAGTCCAGGTGGTGGGAGTGACGGACACTGCAGTGTGTGAGAGTGTGCACCTTAACCCTTGCTTCGTCAAGTCTGGGGGAGACCTGCCTGGGACACTAGGAAGGATATTTAACCCTAAGGCTTCACCCAACAGACTTACTGGGACATTTGAATATGTGAGTCTGAGACTGGGTGCAGTGGGTCACGCCTGTAATCCAGCACTTTGGGAAACCGAGGGAGGGGGTGGATCATGGGAGGTCAGGAGTTTGAGAGCAGACTGGCCAATGTGGTGAAACCCCGTCTCTACTAAAAATACAAAAAATCAGCTGGGCATGGTGGCGCGTGCCTGTAATCCCAGCTACTCAGGAGGCTGAGGCAGGAGAATTGCCGGAACCCAGGAGGCGGAGGTTGCGGTGAGCTGAGATCGCGCCATTGCACTCCAGCCTGGGTAACAAGAGCGAAACTCCGTCTCAAAGAAAAAAAAAAAGATAGTAGCCATCTCTCCTAGGGTTGT